CTACTAACCGTTTAGCTTGGTATAGTAGGTGCAAGTTTATTACAATGAAAGAATCGGGTTTTATATTTGAGTTTGTTTGGTTTTGTAATGTTCATGGATCTATTGATCGTAGATAATAGATTTGAGTTTATTGATAATAAAACATTTAAAGTATTTGCTTGGTTTTGGTAAAAAACATTGTTTCTTACATTTCATTCATGATGTATTTTAGTCATATAATATAAAATTTTGTTCTTGTTTCTTTTGCACATATTCTCTTGCTTTTTATAGTGTATAATATTTCAAAACGTAAAACATCGAATATTAAAAATAATATAATTTGATTGGTTAATTATCACGGGTAATCACGGGTAGATCTACAAAAATTAACCAATCAGACAAATGTCTTCCTATGAACCGTCACCCGCAAAACTAACACCTTACTTTTTCTAGAGAAGATCTGGCGTTACCTTTGGGAGTATATAAGATTATATCAATACTCATTACCAGTTTCCACGTGTAATTGTGTATCCGTCAATTATCCGATGATCCGAAATTAATTCCTTAGGTTAATCTTTTTTTGCAAATCACTAGTAGAATATACGGAGGTAGCCCTTTATTTAGCAATTTTGCACTATATAGTTATAAATGCACACGGAGTATGTTACGTAGTGACTAGTACACATAATATAATAGATACTATTAAACGTCACCAATAAGCTTGCATCGCAAGATTTTCTTATAAATTAAAATAGAATAATTCGGTTTTGACTACATGTCCAATTTAAATTAAACTGAATAGTACCTTTGTTTTTTATCATTAATGAAGCCTCATTTTTTCTCATGCTTAATGACTGTTTAATAACACGTAATAAGGAATAAAATTAATTTTCGATAATGTTCGACAAATTAAATAATGCAATAGCCAGTAGTTTCATTGGTAGATACTTTAAACTTGAAAACAGTGGTGTCCCTAATGCTCGTAATACTAGATTCACCACTGAGCTTCGTGCTGGGTTGGCAACCTTTGTTACTATGGCTTATATTATTTCGGTTAATGCAATAATCCTTGTTGATTCAGGTACAAAAATTTATTATACTAATATGATATATTAGCACATTATTAATTCTCGATTAATTTCGTTTGTAAGGTGGTCCATGTGTTTGCAACTCCGGTGCTGGAGATTTATGTGTCAATGATTCTGATTATTTAGCTTGTCAAGCAATAGTGAAGCAAGATTTAATTACTGCAACGGCTGCTGTTTCGTGCATAGCAACCGCTATTATGGGATTATTTGCAAACTTACCGTTAGCTCTTGCTCCAGGGTAAATTCAAGTTGTACTCCATGCAAATTTTAATTCATAATTTAATATTATTTAATAATTTAATTACTTAATTCGTTAAGGATGGGAATGAATGCCTACTTCACTTACACTGTAGTTGGCTTTCATGGTTCGGGTAAAATTGCGTATGAAACTGCTATTGCTGCCGTATTTGTAGAAGGCCTTCTCTTTGTCTTTTTGTCTGTATTTGGTCTTCGTCAATTGCTTGCAAGGCTTATTCCCATGTCTATAAAAATTGCAACTGGTGCAGGTGTCGGGTTCTTTATTACCTTTATTGGATTACAAAGGAGTGCTGGTATTGCCCTAATAAGTCATGATCCTTCTACAATAGTAACTCTTGGTGGCTGTCCTGATCAATATTATAATAAAACTACTGGTATTTGTACCGGTCACAATATGGAAAGTCCAACTACTTGGTTAGGGATTTTCGGTTTCGTAGTTATTGTGATCCTATTACTTTTTAGAGTAAAGGGAAGCATGTTTTTGGGAATTATTTTCATCAGTATCATAAGTTGGTTTAGAAACAGTCAAGTCACCTATTTTCCTTACACGTATGTATGTCTTAAGTAAAATGATATTAGTTTGTTCTGTAATATTGTTTAATGTTATAATAAATACTGTAATGAATACTAAGATGAATATTGTGTTATATCTTTTCTTCACAGGGATGAGGGTAATGCTCGATTTGATTTCTTTAAAAATGTTGTTGGTTTTCATTCCATAGAAAAGTAAGGATTATTTATACGATATTTCCGCTCATTTGTACGTACGTACTTATAAATATATTCCACTACATCAGGACACTAGGTGCAATGCGTTTCAACCTTGGAAGCTCAGATGTCTGGCTAGCACTAATAACATTCCTATATGTTGATATACTGGACACTACTGGGACTCTTTATTCAATGGCAAAATTTGGCGGCTTTCTAGATGAAACTGGTGATTTTGAAGGATCTACAGCAGCATTTATATGTGATGCTTCTTCAATTTCGATTGGTGCTATTTTTGGCACATCTCCTGTTACTACATATATTGAATCTGGTTCTGGAATTACTGAAGGTGGTCGAACTGGAATTACTTCTCTTGTTGTAGCATTCTTCTTTTTTATTTCGTTATTCTTTGCTCCCATTTTTGCTAGCATACCTCCGTGGGCTTCTGGTCCTGCCTTAGTGATTATTGGTTCTATGATGGCAAAGGGTATTAAAGATATTAATTGGAAATATATTGGTGATGCTGTGCCTAGTTTCTTGTAAGTATCACTTTATCTATATATCTCTTTATGTATCATTCACAATTTAGTTACATATTTTTTATTTATAGGACTATTGTGATTATGCCATTGACATATAACGTCGCTTATGGTTTAATCGCTGGTATCGTTTCTTACATGGTTATTAATATTATTGCATGGCTAATAGAAAAAATATCATTCGGACGTATATCGCATGACAAATCAGATAAAGAACCTTGGGGTGACTTTATGATTGGACCAGGTGGAGAAGGATTATTACCTATGTGGATTGTTCCCGTTGTATATAAGATTCGTGGAGTGGAAAGAACTGCGGAAATAAAAGAATCTGTTGAAATAAAAGAAACCAAAGAAATAAGTAATATGAATCGTGATATTGCTGTTGATGTTGATGGAAAGAATGAATAAACTTTTTTTCGTGCTTATAGCTTTTTATTTATGCGTTTCATTAGTATAATAGCAAAATTTACAAATTATGATCATTTTTATATCCAAATTGATTTCATTAATGATTTAATTTAACAAAATAATTAAAGTTGTACATTCGCCCTTATTACATTTCTTTTTTAAGCTATTATTAATCGATCTTTATTGTTTGGAATGAATATGTTCTTGATATGGTAAGTTCAAAATATACGTATGTTGTCAAACTAGGTGAACGTATATCGATATATTAAGACGTTTACGACACTAAGTTAAGCAATTAGAATATCAGTGATACAGTACGTAGTCGTAATTTAGTGTGGGCAAATCATATTGTTATCATAAGATCATGTTATATATTTATTAAATGAACACCCACACTTATATATAGCATTTTAATTAATAAAAATAGATAATAGCTTTTTAGTTGCATCAGAGCTGTAATTCATAACAAGATACTTAAATAACTTTACTAATGACCTATTAAGATTGAAATATATAATTAATCAAGTAGCTACTTTAGCTATCTGAAGTGACTACTTTAAATATTTAAAGTAGCTACTTATATAGGACTCGATTTTTCTGTTTTTGCTTGTGACTTCCATGGCAATGCAAAATGTCCCTTACAAGAAACTTAGCACTTATAGTACTAGTGTTTGAAAACGGATTAAAAATCCCAGTTAATCCGGGATTGATCCGAATCCTATCCGAATCCATAATTCGGATTGAATCCGGAAGTGATCCGTGTCAATCCGACGGTTTGTCACATATATTTGTCACAATATAAGTGATAAATTCGAATTTATCATGTGACAAATGCGAATTTATCACTTATATTGTGGCACAAGGTGTG